ATTTTTTTAATGTATATGTACACTATGTACATATACTGTATATGGCTACACAATGGGCTTCCTCATCAACTAAAACCACAAATAAATTTGGAAACAACATTTCACGAATGGTCTTTCACACCTAATAAAAAAAAAAAAAGAGTGAAGACAATACCCCAACTCCCCACTAGATGTCAGTATCTGCTACAGTTATAATATCACTCACTGTTACTGGACCTGAATCCAGAGCTAATCTGGCGCAGATATTGAAATCACAGGATGCCACATAATGTAATGTAGCTTGGCCTCATGAGCATGTGCTGACAGACAGGAGACAGACAGGACTGGACGACACAGGCACAAAGTGAACGAGGCTGTTCTGCGCTCAACTTTGTCGTGCGGGAGTTTCAGGGCACTAACTGAAGTCATGAGATAACGCTGCAACAGCTGAGGACATAAAACAGTCAGTCAGTGTGTGTTGGGAGCAAAATAACAGCTGAATGAGGGGAAACTGCAGAAACACATTATCTAAAAGCCACTTTGTGGAGCATTTCTAGGACTGCTAATGGTAACGTAATTATAGTGATACCAAAAAAGCATCACGATAAGTGAAATTTAGATTGAGCGGAGCCAATTATTGTTGTGTAATTCCACTGCTGGCAAGGTCTTGTTGAGGAAAGCTGTTATTTGTTATGTACTTTTTTCAGTGCACAAAGTTGGCGACCGTGTCAATACAAGACAGCTGTCCTGCTATTACGCAAGAGTTCTCCTCAGGAAGCCAAACATTCATCTAAGTTTTTTACCTCTTAAGTAATAAAAAATAAAGAGGGGGGGTACAAGAGGCGAATGGGGTAATTTAGGAGATATGATTGCAAAACTGCCCCAGCTGATTACTTACAATGCAACAATTACTGTGTGTGTTTTATGAAGTTTTAGGTCTAATATGCAAAAAATGACTTAATTAACATTCATGTTTAGAACAGAAATCTGAACACTGGATAAAGCCAACTTCGAAATTCTGGTTTCATTTTCAAATTGTTGATAGTGGGAACCCTAGAAATCAGAAAATTACCAAAAAAAAAAAGACTAAAAAATAAAACAAAATAAAAATTGCCATTTTTTTTAGGACATTTTAGGACTTAAAAAAACAAAACAAAAAAAAACAATAAAATGTTCCATAAATCAGGCTGTGAATGACATATGACCAAACTCCTCTGTAAATGTGTAATAAAAATGGAAAGTTTGGTATGTGTGTGCTACTGAGGTGGAGATTTCTGAGGAAAATTCATCTTGAGAAAAAAACCTTTAAAGACGTGTATTATAATTGAAATCTAGAGATGCAAAGAAATTAAATTTTACATGTTAAGAAAAAAAGAAAGTCTAAGAATTGACTAGTGCATGAAATAACAATTGTTCTGCCTGTGGTGTCACACTCTAACTGCATAATTTCACACCTTCTTCTGGTTCACAGGACACGTCTGCCTCTGCCTCAGCAGGCTACAATGACCGGCACTGGCTTCAGTGACCTCAAAGGACAACACACACTGTAAGTCTAGTGTTTGTTACATGAAACACAAGTTTATTGCCTATTCTGTGCTAAACAATGACAACAATAACCACAAAACATTGTTCATATACAAGAATACAGGAGTATAAATATAGAATATCTGCACTACGGGGTAGTATCTGAACATTTGTTAAAAGCACAAACAGACACACATTCAAAAATCATTCACTCGGTCACACAAGCAAACCTCCCGAGAACGTGGTTTGCACTTTGCACTCGACGACACATTCACTCATCCACTCACGACTCTAAATGGAAGACCATTCTAAGTCTCTTTAGTGCTCAGAGTACTCCTTGCACTCCAGTTTCTTCCTTGATGATTGTTTCTCCAAAATCAACAAAACGGATCAAGACGAAAGGGTTGAGAAATAAAGGCAGAGCATGACACAATCCTCCATCGGACTGCTTGGTTTCGTCCCGTTTTGATCCTCGTTGGAAGCCAGCAGAGCCTCGTTGTTCACATAAATACAAAAATGTGTCTTAGTGGTGCCAACAGTTGCATGTTAACATCAATTAAAGTTCACTACATTGATGTAGACGCGTCGCTGCGTAGCTGTAGACGAGTTACATCATCGCTGACATGATTGACAGCCTCTACAACATGGACAGAATATTTGTCACACAGCTGTACAACACAAAGAGATTTTATGGCACGAAAAAAGAGCATGGTCTTCTCTGAGCAAATACAGATGAAAATCCATCAAGTGAGAAAGAGCTCTTTGCAATATGGATCAAGGAGGTTTATGGGAAATGTAGTCCCTTGAATAACACTAGTTCTAATACCACAGGTTTGACATAGAGACCAACAACCCTGCCCCTAATCTCTTTACAACAAATCCACAATTTAGTTAACATAATATACTGATGTCAAATACATATAGCACCTCTCGTGTGACATCACAGATGCTTAGACAACACTGAGACAATGTCATACAGGTGTCCAGCTTGCTGTCTCATCGCCTTCTGTGGCTGCTTCATTCTGCTCCGTGTCTTTTGACAGCGAGTCCTTTTTGAAGGCTTGAAGCTGGGCACAGCGAGTGTTTGAAAGCCCAGACAAACGTCTTTAGACACTGTTGAGCAGCAGAACGGTATTGGCGGAGCCGGGAGAGGAGATTTCAGGGTTAATAAAATGTGAGTCTTGTTCATCCCCGGAGTCCGCTTCTTGTTTCTGTGCTACAGTCAAAGACAGGCTGTTCAGGCCGGCCTCTAATGTCGCCTCGGCTCCCTCTGCTCTGTCACCTGGAACACACGAGAAAGGAAGCACACATCTGTCAATAAATCTGTAGGTTAACAAGATGTATTTTCTACACTAAACAGAAATGCTATGCTTTAGTAAAAATATGCAGTACTTCTCCTTGACTTGAGTATTTCTATTTCACGCCACCACAACATTAAAACCACTTAAGGTGAAGTGAATAACATCGATTATCTCAATGCAATTCAATGTTCTGCTGGGAAACCTCGGCTCCTGGCATTTATGTGGAAGTTACTGACACATGTCATGGCAACAGCACTCCCATGTGGCACATCAATTCGCCCCACAACGGTTCCTACTGACAAGTGTGTAAAATAGTTCAGATTAGCCAATAAAGTTACCAAAAGGCCGTCATGGGGTCATTTTTTCCGTCCCTTTACTTACACAAGTTACATATGTAAATTTTGTTGATAGTATCTGCAGGATTGCCACCTTTACGTACAAATAAATAAATGCTATAAATACTTCTGCCATGATTGAATGTGCTGCTTGGAAAAATTCTGACAAGTATGACCACTTACATGGTGCTAATGTTGCTCATTTGAACATTTCTTTTTAACAAATGGGATGTACCCAGTTAATAAGGAAGCTTTAGAGGTGCCATATTTCTGAGCTTTACACATATCCTGGTCAGCCCCTACCCTCTGCTTTCTGTTCAGACAGACCAGTCAGCTTTTAATTATTTCACCTCTATACTCACTCAGAAAACACAGTGAGTAAGCATGCCTCCCAGTGTTTTCAAATGGAGCCCTAAGGTAAAAGAAATGCAGAACATTTCCAACATTTAAGATGAAGCTTGACATTTAGAAGTCAGTGGTCACCTCTCTCCTGGTCGCAGTCTGGAGAGGAAGCTCCACTGCACTGGCTGCGAGGGCCCAGGAGAGGTGAGGCGTGCCCAGAACCGCACACCGAGTCTGGGCTGTGAGAGCTACAGGGGCTCGCTAGCTCCAGGCCACCGGGACAGGATGAGGACAGGGCGGTGGAAGACGGAGAGGAGGAGAGGTAGGGGGAGGAGGGGAAAGGGCTGGGCATGTCGAGCGGGGTGGAGGCAGAGGTGGAAGGATGGGAGCAGGAGGAGGAAGAAGGCGAGGAGGGCATTGCTTGGGGAGAGGAGGTGGAGTGAGTGTCGGCCTCCTCCTCTGAGCTGCTACTGTGACTGCCCTCTTCGTCGATTGACACTGACACCACTGAAACACACACAGAGTATGGACTTTAAACATGCAGACGCACAGATGCACCGACTTAATGAAACAAAACAAATGGATTGATGGAAGCGGGCGATCACTGAACTCCGAGGTCTGGTCACACTCACTTGACAGGCCGTCCGACTCCATCTTGAAGTTGGCGATGTCCTCGTTGCCTCCGTCTCCTTCGGCACCGACGCCTTGCTCCCTGGTTCCCATGGCGAGGGAGCGGCGCTGGGCGTGGATCTCCTCTGAGATGCTCTCCAGGTTGCGTAGCGCCGCGCGGTACTCGGCCTTTGCAACAACTAGCTTGGCCTGACGTTCGTCCACGTGACGCTTCAGTTGCTGTGAGAAATCAATCGAAGAACTCAGTGAACTCCCCTGACTTGTAAAACTGTTTGCAAATGTGAATTATGCACATTTTAACATTCTTGAAAAGACTTTTATTAGGCTGTGTGAGTGTGACATTTACACCATGAGGATTGTTTCCTAAGGCCAGCAGATGGCAAAATTTATGTTCCGAATGACATAAATTTTACCATCTGCCCAAGTGTCTGAGAGTCTGTGTGAATCTCTCCATGGACGTCCGACAAAATGAACACAAAGCAGCAGCACACATGCCTGGCAGTAGTGGGTTTGTGTAGAATACATACAATGCATATTTTATAGTATTGAGACTGGTTTTATCAGAGCTTGCATGGTAGTTTGCACTGTTCCCTCATAATAACAAGGTTCTGTGTTTGAGTTCTCCTTTTGCCTTGGTGTGTTGGTGTTTTTCTTTTTCCTCTGGGTGGAGGCCAGAGCACCCAGAGGAAAAAGAAATGCACGATAGGTTAAATGGTGATTCAAAATCGTTTGTCGTCAGTCCATCTGTCCGGCCCTGCGATGGACTGGCGACCTGTCCAGCAGCGTGTAGCCTGTTTCTAGCCCCCCCGTGACTCTCTGAAGGATAAAGTGGATATAACTGATGGATAGATAAGTTTTGACTATTTGCCAGAAACACATAAAATATGAATTTACAGCAACTTGCTACAAACACTGAACCACTCTTGTGAACCTGCAGCAAAAAAAACCAAACAAAAATCTGTTGATTGCCATTGGTTGTCCACAAAGTCAGCCAGAAGTCCACCGATTAAAATACGACCTGCAGTTTTGTTGCAACACTGCCTAATGTTAATTACAACCACAAAACCTAAAGTTCTAGTGCGGTTCCAGCGGGCTAGAAAGTAATATAATTTAGAATAACTACACAACCGTGACGTCCACAGATGTCCGTGTGACTACAGTCATTCTAGCAGCTCTGTGAGGCTGCATGGTCACAGAATTAAGTTTGTACACTGGATTAAAAGGCTCATGATTCCAATGCCAACATGCTGATATCTAGCCATGTTTAGCATTTTTGTTTAGCATATAAGCATGCAAAAGTACAGTCTAGGCAGATGGGATTTATTTATCTTTTTTTTTAGCTATTTAGTCATAAATAGAATAACTGAACCAATAAAATATTGTTCTAAATGTGACAAAACATGTAAAGCAACTTATCCAGAGCTGGAAAGGATTGAATGTAAGATATGAACCAATGTGGTAAACTACAGATTAACACATTAACATTAGATTGGGTAAATATACATGAAACCCAGTAGGCCGGTCATATACGTACCTCAAGCTGTAGGTAATACTTGGCTTTCAGTTCAAAATAGGGTCTGCAGGGGGAGGAAAAGAAGAAAACTGAGAAATGGGGGGAGGGAGAAACTTTGCCAGTCATCATTGGAGAAACTGCTAGAAGAATAACACTCCTCTGTGAGCACTCGCATTCCTTGGCTCTTGCAAAAGGGAGACACCCCAACACTGCACAAGCAACACATGAAACATCTGGATTGCATCAGATGACATTAACGTAGCCCCAATGTCTCACACACTCGCATATAAAGAGGCCAAGGCAGGGGGAATCTCAAGAGCATCATTTCTACTTTATCACAAAGGAAGCACAAGCACAGACCTGGATTTATTGATGGAGCGCTTCAGTTTCTTCTCTAACTGCCTCATGTGGCTGATACAAGAGTTGTAGTTGGCTGCTGTTTTTTTGTGTTCAGCTTCACTGCGCGTTCTCGCCTGCTCTGCCTCCATCACCTGAAACGACGGAGAAAAAAAAAAGGTTTATTTTAACTTTATAAAACCGAGAAAAGTTTCATTCTCCAGAGTCAAAAGCTTCTGTTGCTAGAATGGAGCTTTTTTTTTTTTTGGCTTGCATTAAGTACATACTCTCTGTGTGGCATGGTTGAGCATTTCCTGCCAGGCGGAGTCAAACTGGCGGCTGTCCTCCTCCAGCAGCCTCTCCTCAGCCAGGGCGATGGTTTCTTTGGCTGCCCGCAGGATCTCCACTGCTCGCTGGAATTCCTGAGTGGCCTTTTGGGCTTCAACCTGGGCCTGGGCAGAAAGAAAGAGCGGACAGTTATAATTTATTCAGCGCTGACTGGAAACCAAAATGCTATTCAGCTTTCTGGCAGTAAATATTGCAGCTGAGGGACTCCAAGTTTCATGAAAGGGAAAATTCTGATTTCACTTGTTTCTGATGTCACGACAGCTGACAAGAGTGAAAAAGATGCCGGAAAGTTGAGACCACAGCGTTGTGACAAAGGGGTTTGTTCTAACAAGCAGCAGTCCTTGTGTTTGTGTGTGTGTGTGTTTGTAATTTGTGTCCTGCAGCACATTTCCTCCGACGGAGCCGATTCCTTATGACAGCCAAAGAGAAACTAAAGAGATTTGACACTGCGTACACACTCGTACAGAAAGACGAGCGTGCCCTGATCTAGTGGACAAACAGAAGCTTTGTCACTGAAGAAATCTGACACATTATCAGTGGGCTCTTCCTGCCCACGGTGACAGTCAATAGGAGGATTATTCTCATCCCACTGGACATATTTGGACCCACTCTCTCCGCTCCGACAGGCGTGACTTAAAGGTCAGCGTGTCGGCTGAATGCCAGGATTAAGCAGTTACAGTAACTCCAATCGGATTTCCTCTAATACAATGAAAATAATCCAGGAATTTTGGTTAGCCCTGATGGTCTTATTTAGAAGCAGAGACCTTAATCTTGGAGAAAGATAAAAGCGAGCGGACAACACCACCCGAGTTTAATGTTAACAATACAGACGCCTATGAAAATGTATTAAACAGACACAGTAGACATCTCCTTTTTGGAGAAAGATGGGTATTAAAGAGATGAAAATAAACAAAAAGACAAAATGATTGTTCATACAAACTCGCCTCAGATATTGCAGCCTTTCATATTCCGTTCATATCGTTTATGATGTAAATAACTTCCTCGTCCTGCAACACGTCTTGAAGATTTTTATCTTAAGAAATTCTCGCGGGCCAGTAGAAAGACTGTGTAGCGTATTTTTCTATTTGCATCAAAGGCATCCAGAATGATCCACTGATATCTTTCCTCGAGTCCCTTATGGGGTTCCATTGCATTTTTTTTGTTTAACAATTTAAATGGAACATATTTGGTATGAAATCAGTTTGTTTGAAGTAGTGTGTAACCCTGTGACATTTTATAAATATCCTGTCTGTCATTATGCTCCTTGTGTTGTAACTGTGTTGCATGTCTCTACTGACTGTGTACTACAATGGAAACAGGCTTTCTCATCTGGTTTGTTTTTCTATCCCTCAGTGCTTTCAATAGATTATTGTTGCGACTAAATGACTGTGAAATAAAGGCAGCTATTCATCTGAACGCTACCATTTCACAGTTTCGAACGTCTACCACGTGAACTCCAAATGTACTTTCTTGTGGCGTGTTTTCTATTGTTAGTAACTGACAGAAAACAAAACTGAACCCAAGCTGCATTGAAATTATCTTCACAAATATGATTGTGTTTAGGTTATTTTAAGGATTCAATTATTTTCTGCAAAGCAAATGTAAAATGGCACCGGGGCATTTCTATGCACTGGTCAACATGTGACTAGTAGCGTCTGTGCAGAACACGTAGCAGTCAACAGTGTCCTCCATGTGAACTCATGCAGCTAGAAAAAGTAGTGTAAAAACTACAACTACACATCTGTGCATGTCCACAGCTGTTTGTGTGCACATCCGCACTGAAGTGTAATCAAGGCTGACCTTTAAGCCTCAATATATTTTAAACAAGTGAGTTCTTTAAAAATGTACCGACTGTACAGTTGTCGTGAACGGGGAAGTTAGCTGTAGAGACCGAAACCTTTTTTGGTACGAGAATGTAAACGTGTTTATTTCAGCTGTAAAGTTGAGCATTTTTAACACGGCAGTCTACGGAGAGTTACTCGCTTTTGGAGTCAGCCTCAAGTGGCCAATTGTGGAACTGCAGTTTGTTTCACTTCTTCATTGGCTTCATTTTTCAGCCCTGGAAGTCACTGCTTGGTCTCTAACAACTCCCAGGAAAATAGGTAATATTTAGAGTACCTACATTGCGACATGTTTTCACCAAAGACATGTTTAATGTCCACCCGCTTCTTGGCAACTCTGTTTGCTCAATGCTGTAAGCTAAACAAGTTGCATGCATTGTGTTTAGCAGAACCTTGAACTCTGTTGCCAAAATGGCAACAGCGAACTTAAACTAAATTATGGGCTGTAACACCAAAGGAATGAACTGAAAGAGCCTAGAAGGGAAATGCAGAATCAAGAGAGTCTGTGTGTTTGCCCTTTGGAGTGACACAGTTCACAATAAACAGCTTTAACAGACCAGACTCCCAAAAGGTCAGTGCAGGTCTTTCAGCTGTTACACTTTTTTCTCATGGCCTTCCTTGGCTTTCTGCGACATTAACCCCTGTAACACGACCCCTGCCACGGTCAGCCATGGTAAAGATAAAACCTCCACCAGTGACGTCAGCAGGCAGAGGTCTGCATCACCTCACGCTAAATGCAGAAAACAGAAAAGCTGGCATCTTTTGTGTGGGCATTGTTGTCATATCAGGGTGTGTCAGTTGTTCCGATATGCTATCCAGGTTTGTTAGGGCCCCTTTGGGGAAGGTGAAGAGATAGAAGAGAGGAGTGGGAAGATAGCAGTTGCTCCTTGCGTGCAATCTGTTGGCTTGACAAACTGGCGAAGATGAATCCTACCTCTTTGTCCCTCATCATGACCCATTTCCCAGGCTCTGAGAGGAGAGGGGTTGCAGAGAAAACAGAAGGAGGATGATAGATATTTGATGAGGGGAAAACATAAGGAGAACCAGAGAAGTATCTGAGGCTTTAAAGCTGCATCCATCATTGTTGTATTATGTCAGCATCCAACTAAAATAGCAGGACTTCCTCGAAAGAGCAGCCTTCCCCACACAGGGTTAGTGTGTTTTCATGAAGCTTCAGTGGCAGCCCAGGGTGTAGTCAGTACCTAAATACAGTCACTTTGAGAGTTTCTGCTGTTTCTTTACTGCTGACGCCCTGTTGAGTAGCATGCATCAGAGCTGGAGGACACAATTTGCCGTTATCTTTATAGCACAAAAGCCTGCTGAGCTTCAGACACCATGCAAATGATGAGCTTTGTTATCAGTTAATTAACTTGATGTCACTGAGCACACATTATATGACACTCAGAACCACACAATAGGATGCTTTTTTCTCCATAATACCATGACACACTGTCACCCGGTGACTGTAAAAATCCTCCTACTAAAGGATGTTTTTGATGTGTGTGCATAAAGCGTGTGTGTCCGTGCACGTGACGCCTTCATAATTCATGTGTCAGACGCTGACGTCCCGTCTGACGCCTTTGTCTCTCGAAATTCTCCCTGTTTACAGTTTGCCAAGGTGAGAGATGGAGGGCAAAGAGGTACAGAGAGGTGAAACAGAGGGTGAGGGTGGGGAACACAGAGCCAGACAGGCAGGCAGTGGTGCAGAAGAGAATGCTGGGTAAAAGGGACAAAAGATAGGACAGTACCGACAAATTCCTATACACCACCTCCCCCAAGTCTGCTGGAATGCAAGGGGGAAAACATGGGGGGTTGGGGTAGGCTTATGGGTGGGGGGGTACGTGCAGTGTTGTGCGTTTATGCTAGAGGGTCAGTGAGGGTATGTGTTTGGGTCCTTTTAAAATAGGTCAAGTATTAAATATTAAATATTCATCCATAAATCATGACCAGACAATACACAAGTTTAACCCAAGGCCCTTATCGGCTTTGCTCTATTTAAATCCCCTGATCACACACACACACACACACACACACACACACACGTATATACCTACACAAACGCAAGGCTACAGAAGGCTTTTCATCCTTTCACGTGAACGCAGGTCCTATCAAAATTCAAAACCTCCCAGTAATCCCTCGCACTCACGTGTTACCATCAGAAACAGATGACACTGGCAGGTAGTTTGTCATATTGCAACACTGAGAAGCAAGGACAAACACAAACATGCGCACACACACACACACACACACACACACACACACACACACACACACACACACACACACACACACAAATACAAAATCTATTTCAGTTTGACAGCTCAGCTCTGACACACAAATGTCAGCCTTCTGATGTGTGACTCATAAGCTGCTTCTTTATTGGCTCGAATGGAGGAGGCTGCTGGACTCAAAATTTCTGTCCAATCAGATCAAAGCTTCAACAGGCTGGAGCAATTAGACAGTAAAAGTACACGACCCACCGGTGAGGGAACAGCACAGTTTCACGTGCTAACCGCTGGGGAAGTTGTCCTACTTTGTCTCTACCTGCACCAGTGCAGTGAGCACGGCGAGATATCCAAGATTCAGTGAAAGAAGCAAGTCAGATCATGCAAAGTGTTGCACGGCTATCAGTTTCTCCTCCACACAGAGGTGATGCATGTGTTTACATGTGACATTAGCTTAGGATACAGAGGTGTGACTGAGTTTAAAAATAGACATCACGTGACTGCGCTCCCTTTAAGTAGATATAAGCAGAGCTCTTTAAACTTCTCAGTGCTAATCCTCAGTAAGCCTGCCCTCACACTTTCTGTCTGCCGACCTCAGAGTCACTCCAGCTTTCCTCTGTCAATGTGTGTGTGTGTGTGTGTGTGTGTACCTGTCTTGCCACTTTGCGGGCTTCCCAGTAGGGTTTGGAATCATCTACAGCTCGTCCGATCCTCTTCACTTGCTCGTCCAGCTTCACTGTTGCTTCCACCAGAACTGCACGAAACCGCTGACGGCAGTCCTGCAAACAGAAATCAGGATTGAGCATATGAGCTTATCTGAAATTATGAGCACAATTTTCCAATTTTTTTAAATTTAATTTAATTTATTTTATTAGTGTCCCCCTCCCCCACTTGCCCTACAGGTGTCTGTGGCACTTGCCAGGCTGGCATTGTAAATAAGAATCTTGTTCTCAAATGTCTTTGCCTGGTTAAATAAAGGATAAATAAAAAAATTAAAATAAAAAAAAATACAATGTTCTTTGCTCATTGTGAGCATTTAGGCAGAGCACCAACGTGTCACCAGTTTGGCAGCATTTTCCCTTGTGTGTATTATTTTAAGTACAAGTCACAGTTTGGCCTTTGTAGTTAGTGCTGTCCTATTGGCTCGGATCAGTTTGGCCATGTGCCTCCAAAGCAGCTCTTCCGATTCAAGTCTTCACTAAACTAATACCCAAATACAAGAACATGCATTACCGTGCCCAGCTGTGCCCAGCTGTGCACACTATCTCAGTCATGGGTTTTTGCTCCAACGGGTGTTTTTGCCCACAGAGCTGATAAGCATGTGGACATTCATTGGTGGTGAACTGGTGAGTATTTGTGAGTTATGATAAAACATTACAGCAAGGCATGACATCTATGCACATGTGTGTGCGTGTGTGTGTGTCCACATTCTTTGCTATGAAGGCCAAAGTGACACTGTGACAGTATATTTGTTATTCATAGATACGGTCTGTCATCAAATCTATAGGGCAGGTTTACTGACGCCGGCCACCTGTTTTTATGTTTGTAGGTGCGTGTGTCTGTGTGTGTCGTTGTCGGCTACTTCTATAAGCACCAGTTTGAGTTTTAGACATTTTGGCTGGTCCTCACTTTTTTTTTTTACACTCCTTCAAAGGTTTTGAGGTTCAGACTTGGTTTTAGGGTTGAGGTTTGGTTTAGTTTGGGGTTCAGGTGAGGATAACATCCAGCTGATCTGAATGCTGTAGCCAGAGTACTGACAGGTACCATAGCAAGAGAGATCATGTTACTCCCATATTAGCTTCTTGTCACTGGCTACACTGACTCTCGTCTCCTTCACTCTCTATACATTTATATGCCACCACTGATGTCACTGACTTTGTGTCTTCTCTCTCTCTCTCTCCCATACTTTGTGTTTTGTCTTCTCTGCAGGTATCTCTGGCTGCAGAGTTACATGTTTCTGATCTTGACCTCAACGAACCGGCCAGTGTTGTGAGGTTTCTCACTGCTGAAAGAGCCTTTTTCTTCCCCACCGTCACCAAAGAGCTGCTCAAGGAGAATGGTAATTGTAAGGTATTCCCCTTATTATGTGAAGTGCCCTGACATGACTCATGTTGTAAATTGGCAGTAAATGAATAAAACCGACTCAAATTGTGTTAGGGGTTAAGGCAAGGGGCTTGGGAACATATTGTGTCAGTGAATGTACTCACAAAGACAACAGTACAAACAAAAAAAAACAAGATAAACCGACAAGGATGGTGTATGTGTGTGTCCATCGGCCTTTTCTCAAACTACACCCTCTTTCTACCCAGTTCCCTATTGTTCATTTGGACAGTCTGCCACATTAAGCGCTGTAACGATGGAGTGAAAGTGGGTTATAAAACCTTCCAACTGTGACTCTACACTGATACTGACTTAGACTGTGTCCAAACTAATATATCCATCCATTATCTATACACCGTTTAATCCTCACTAGGGTCGTGGGGGGCTGGAGTCTATCCCAGCTGACTTAGGGTGAAGGCAGGGGACACCCTGGACAGGTCGCCAGTCTATCACAGGGCTACACTTAGAGACAGACAACCAAGCACACTCACATTCACACCTACAGACAAATTAGAATCATCAATTAACCTCAACATGTTTTTGGACCTTGTGGGAGGAACCCAGAGAACCCGGAGAGAACCCACGCTGCACGGGGAGAACATCAAACTAATATATATTCATTAAAAAAAACTATCCTGTTCAGACAAACATTTTAGAATTGTATCAGAAACAATCTCTGTCCATACTAAGACATATGAAAACATAACGTTGGCCTCATAGCATAATTGCCTACGTCATTTTTTGGTCAAATTGAGATATTTGCCTAACTTTACTCTCCTATCATTTCTGCATCATCCTGTCTTTCTACCTATGTCATTGGCCAATCACATCTGGTTGAATGTACTGTTAAAAAATCAATAATAAATACCAATGTCATTTCTAAAAATTGTTTTTTTTCTCATTTCCCAAAAACATGATAATATGACTTAGGCAAGTATGCTATGAGGCTAACGATAAGTGACCCAATCAGAAAGGACAAAAGGCCAAAACACAAAGAAAAAGCTCTGTTTTAAAGGGTTACCCATACACATGTGGATAAGGCCTTACTAACATGATGGAACACCAGGTTGTGTTTAACATGAAACAAACTCTGTACAAATGTAAGTTCTGAACAGCTACCTGTTAAACTGCTCAAACCAAATCCTTAAATTAGAGATGGTTACATTGCATTTACAATCAAATACACTGTAGTCTAGATATCAATCTAGATAACATCGTCTAGAAAACAGTTGACCAATCACTGCACTGTGTAGAATGGTCTGGCTGCACTTTATTATGATTCTCCTATAGGTGAAAAAAAACCCACTCTGCCGTGTTTGCACTTCTTCAAGCCAATCACAGTTGTCTTGAGCGGGGCTGAGCTCAGGATGTTCACCGAAAATAGTCACGGGGGAATTGCTTTGTTGGACATGTGCACACAGAGAGGCAAGCAGGGCCACTTAAATGGATAATTCGCTGAAAAACAGAATAGCACGGCTGCCTATGAAATGATCCAAACTTCTGGTAAAACCTGAAATTTTCTGCGTGCAGGTTGTTGCCTGAAGGACGTTGTTCTTGTTTCTCCAAGTGACACTGATTTTGAAAACAGTAACGCACAAATGTTAGCCCCCTTTCAAATGACTTCCAATCAAACACTAGTGCAGCCAACTGGTGCCAGAAGTGGCACCACTAGTGAAAAGCGGTCCATTTGAGTGCAGTGAATGTGTCTCAAGGGACTGTAGAGTAAAGACACTTCTATCTAGAAGGTCCATGCACAGGTGAGTCAGTACTCCTGGCTGTAACTACGCCATGAAGGCAAAAGAACTCTCCAAGCAACTCTGTAAAAAATGTTACTGAAAAAGCAAAAGTCAAGGGAAGGATATAAGAAACTTTTCAAGTCACTTTGACATGAAAGAGTCTTTTATGTAAATTCTTGTCAAAAAAAACCCAAATGACCTTGACAAGGACTCAGTGTTGAAAAGTGATAAAAGGGGAAAACTTCCAAGGAGGGTGAATACTTTTTTAAGGCACTGCTTACCTACAATTTACATCCAGCAGTCAGAGTAGGAAAACTATAGATGTCGTTATTTGATTGTAAAGTCTTGTCTATTCGCAGAGATTGCTGCGAGTAAATAAAGAGAACAAGACCACAGAAGCTGGAGGGTACGTGATATTTTCCTCAAGTTCATCTTTAAAACCTGCCGCTGGATTTATACTTTCCACCTTACGAAGGGTGCTTCATTCAGCTGCGACTGTGACGACAAACAGAGTTAGACTCCGTGACAGACTGGGAGTGGGGAGGCTCTGGTTTGAGAGCGGCTCCCACATGTGTTGTGATTTGCAGAAAAATGGGTTTGAAAGGCAGCAGCACCTGCATCCTGTTCACAGGACTGACAGAGGAGAAAAGAGAGCTTGAAGAGGGAAAAGGGAGAGGATGCTACAGGAAGCACACGTCCTGTGATATCGTAACGTTTCCTGGCGTCTTCCTGCAGTGACGCAGCACAGAATCCAGAAGGTAAATCCAGCAAAAGCACTGGTCACGTATCGTCGCCGGTTACTCTCGACGATGAGGTTTATATGTTTCAACAAATACATGCGATCTTATATCTCTGCCAGGGCACACGAGGGGGTTTAACATTGTGTTGGCAGAGTCAAGAACACAGTCTGAGCGTGGATTTAACCTCATTGCCTGAACTTCTCCTGAATCCGGTGAATCTACAGTACATCATCCTTAATCAACCCCAGACGCTGCAGGAAAACAGCCTGCAGCCCGCCAGCAGCACTTTCCACATTCCTGAGCTCCTTACTTTCATTTTTCCTCCTGATGAATCGCGTTCTTGCTTTCTTTCTTTGTCTGCTCATGTCTGCGTGTTTATTGATAGGCTATCAATCACCTCACTGACGCAAACGTTTCATGAAAATGTTCCCACAGCAGTGAAAAAAGGTGGAGTTCTCCAAAAAACAATAAACAGCAGTTAATATCAGATATGTTCAATATAATCTGTAACAGCTGCCCAATATTTAGCCTGAAAATAGGGATGAATCAAATGGAAATGACACAGATCTGATCCTTCTGTCTTTCTGTCTGCTGCTCTGGTTTGTGGAGTTTGGATGTGAGTCTTGGTCTAATGAGAAACAGAAGAGGCCAGCTTTTAGGAAAAGAAAAACTGCGGCCTAGCTCTGGAATGTTTTTGGTTTTGCTGAACAGTAACCTAACGAGCACACATTTGAATGCAAGCAAGCGCTGTAAGAAAAAATTCCATCTACCATCCGTCTTTCTCCAGGTCCTCTCTTGATTTTAAAACCTTTTTCCTCTTTTAAAGTGTTTGATATGGGTTTTTTTTTTTTTTTTAAGCAGCCTGAGGGAGTTGAAGGGCAACGATGAGAGCACATGGGATTCAGATTGCTCTGCATGTGCCATTCAAATAATGTATTTAACATTCAAACCACAGTAATGCGTCCTGTAGCACTGAAAGGTTATACAGTGCAGCTGTATTTCGCAGCGGCAGCTTCAGTTTTTCCACATTTTCCTCTAAAAGCTGCTCACTCATTTAGGAAATTTCCATCTTTGCAAGGCGTTCCATGTGAACCCTTTTCAAAGCAACCACCTCGTCGCTAGGCAAATCCCTGAAACTTACTGGAAACAAGATGGATTAACTCTGACAGGATTTCTCACTTGTTTCGGGTAAAACTTTAGATTCTGAAAAGTGAGATTTAGTGGCTCTGTGAGATAGATGTCAGTGCAGCTCAGCTCACGCGGTGCAGGAGAAGTGTTTACCCCAGCAGAGAGAGGCAATAATGATAATAGTGTTGGTGTTTGGTCTCACCTCCAACTCACTCTCCCAGCGGTTAATGTCATCCGTAGACTGGTTCAACTTCTCCAGCTCCCCCTGTTTACAGAAAACATGGCGGGCATGAGAAGACAGGGAGAGGGAGGAGTGTGGTTAAGTCAGATCTGGAGGTTAAACTGTGACTTGTGTTTACTGAATTACTGAGCCTGAAGGAACAAGCAATCTTAAATCTTTTTATTGGAACATTTCACTGCATTCACCCTCACAGTTGTTTATTTTAACTGGCTTGTTATAATATAATAAAGTAGTATTCTGTCCAGCTGTATGTAGCTTTATTCAAGAAGTATCAGGGTTAACATTTTCAAAAATATCCCACACAGTCTGACAGTTCTATTGATTCATCCCAGTGTCACTTCACTGGTAAATACATCTGGACCCATTCTCCTGACCCCCTTCTCACCTGGATTCTGGGATCCACCTCTTCTTCCTCCTCAGCACACTGCAGCTCATCCTCACAGTTATTCCCATTTGGTTCCATTCTCAGAATATTTTGGCCAAAAAAAAATGAGGGTCTTAACAGGAAACAAAGCGCGACCCCCGGGGTGCTGGGCAGGCGGAGGTGTCCGGCAGCGATCCGCCCTCTCTAACCTTTACGCAGAGCGCAGCGCATTGCTCCGGACCGCTGAAGGATTCTTGTAGAGTTGGAAGAATCAGAGGAGTCGGTCCGGTATCTGCGGAGACGCGCGTCCTGCCGCAGGGAGATCCAGCGCGCACTGTTAAAGGTTCACCACCTCAGGGATCGACCACGGAGCAACTGTGGGAGAAGAAAAAGTAAAAGCAACTATATTCATCAATGGAACTGCTTCTGCTTTGGACTTTCAAAATAAAAGCAACGCATAGGGAGGATTTTGGCTCTCCACAGTCCCTCCACTCCAAAATGTGCTTTGATCAGTGCTGCTTTTCTTTTGCTTGAGCTTTTGCTGCGTAAAAATGTGCCTGTTCAGTTTGACGCAAGAGGACTGTTTTCAAATTCACCTGTTTCATATATTGATCTATATATATGACCTATTCTGTACTTTGCTGTGCACGTTTGGTTCAACTGGCATGTTGTTTGTTGTCATATAGAGTTGTTAAAATGTTGTATCACTCCAAATATCCGTTTGAAGACAATAAAGTCTATCATATGTTATTGGAATTCAGACTAACTGAAGCATCAGATGGCAAAATCAGCTTTGGAGTGATAACACATGCCGATACTGTGTTTGGTATTTCACTGACATCTTGAGGCCTACGCAGCAATCATGACCTGTCATTCTAACACGTGAGTTGATACTAAAAATATATATATAAATGCAGCGTGCAAATTGACTTGGAGAAAAGGTTTTACATGTCAAAATCTCACTCGGTTCATTTAGTTAAAAAGTTTTGCAGCTTTTAACTGGTGACAAATTCTCTACCACTGAGTTAACCCACATCCTAGTCAGGTGTGGCTATAAAGGACAATGATCATGTCCAACAACAGGATCTTGTCCCTTAAATGTCCACCAACCTCATCAAACTCAATAAGCAGCATCTACAATGTCATTAATGTGATCCCTTACTGACTTGTGATTTCTGATCGATGACTCAACTCTCCATGTGCCCTTTATCATTGACAGCAATGTCCATATTTTGTTGTTTCATGACGTTCAATCTGTTGTAAAGATGCCGTGTGTAGGAAGAACAAATACTATTATTACATGCTTTGTTTCTACTTTGTTCTGTTTTTTCTTTTTTTTTTTTTAAATGTAAATCAATCGATTTTTTCTCTTTTATTTTGAAAATTCACTCTACTTTTTTTCTGGACCTTTCAGATCTACCTTTCTCTCGCTTGACGGAGCTCCAGTGAGGGAGGTTTGTCTGGTTTCACTCGCCCTCTGGTGGTGAGGACTCCGGGGAACAGGGAGGGTCAGGCTGAAGGATAATGGCAGCGAGCTGGATTCCTGTAAACACTGTGGTCTCAGTGTTTTATTAGGAAAGTGATTCCCAGCCAGATGTTGGACAGATGCCCTGACAGATTATAAGGGCCCTCAGAAAATTAAACAAGAAATAAAGACAGCTTTCTTGGACTCAGTCAGTGGATTTGGTGGATCACATCCATGTGAACCTGTCAGAGATACACTTCATGATATAAATATGATTTCACCAGTAAAGCCACTGTCTAGTCTATTAAAGGACAGTGGTTGTATTTAAGGTCACTAGTTCAGAGTGACAAATGATCATGTGGGTCATATGTTATTTTTAACATGGTTGCTTCATTTTGAATAATATGTAATCCAAATATTACAATACAAAGCAACATAAACCAGTACTGATGTAGAAACCTTCCTCTGGCTGCATCCTGTCCTTACATCCATCACAGCATCTCTTTCAGATCTCACCACACAATCAAACAGATCTACTGTAAATTTCCCAGAACTTTCAGTCACATCTGGTGACCTTTATCATTTGGCACAGACTATTTTTACACTGAACAACCACTGCAACTCCAAATCCTGAATCTCTGACCCTGAACCTCTGCATGTGTGTTGCATAACTGTTCATATTTTCATTCCAGCAGCACTGCTCCGCTCCACTGTCCACCTACCTCTCCTATATAAAGCACCAATAAGCCTGGAATAATGGTTCATAGTTGCATTTGTTCCTGTGTTACCAGAATCTGCAGAATTTACATTCAGCTTTTGGTTTACTTTTAAACAAACCTTAGACACATATCTGTAGATTTGTGAATAAGCATTTGTTTAAATGCATATATTAAGCAAAGATTAAATTCATTGTACACAAACATGGCAACTAAAGCTGATTCTTATTTTGATTTGGGGATTTAAAGTTTATAGGTTGAGAATATTCCCAATAAATCAGATGTATGTTTTTTATTTCTATTTGTGCATGTGAGTGATCTGGGTGTGCACACTGTTTGATTTTCTTGCACATTATTTCATGGCAGCGCTGGTTTCAGGTTATTTCACTGGTTTTAATGGGCTCATTCTCTCTCCATGTGATTGCATACTGTGCAGATGCAGTCTGTGTCCGTTATTCGCTCTCCTGCATGATGGCAGCAGGTGAAAACGCTGCAGCAGCGTAGCTGACAGTGAGAAAGTTGGGGGTAGGCCTATAGCGCCTCAGATATGGACGGCTGCCCGGCTTCACTATTCGTCATCGCGTTTTTTCCAGCGTCCTCCTGCGTATGCATGTATGCGACCGACGGGCTGATTTCATAACGTGAGGAGGAAGAGAGGAATGGGGCTTTGAGCTCGGATCAACAGCAGCAGACCCCGGCAGGCTCCGTGCACCACCGCTGTTCCGTTTCCCTCCCGGGCCATGCAGAAGGTGCAGTAGAGGAGATGCGGTAGTGGAGGCTGCTGATGCTGCGGTCCGATCAGCTGTTATTTGCGTCTTAAGCATCATCGCCGCGACGGCCACAGAGATAGAGATCAAGCTCCTGGAAGCCAGGGACACCGCAGAGCGGATAACAGAGGATGGAGTTCAAGCATCTGGTGGAGGCGGCGGAGAAGTGGTGCTCCGGTAACCCGTTCGACCTCATCTTCGCCGAGGAGGACGACGAGAGGCGGCTGGACTTTTACGCAGAGCCCGGCGTCTCCTTCTACGTGCTGTGTCCCGGCGGCACCGACAGCTTTGTAAGTGAGGGCCTCGAGCTCCGTGTGTGTGTGTGTGTGTGTGTTCTTGTAGGTGTGTCGAGGGTGGGCTGGAGGTGGGGTTGTCCCGGTTGGTCCCGGTTTTCAGGCTGATGGACGGGGGAGGGGAGGAGGGGACGAGGTAAGGGGGGCTTTGGGCGACGAGCGCAGGGGATGATGTCATTTCAGTTTGGGTGAACACCCCCCTTCTCCCGATGTGTCGATGGTGGTGTTTTTTCCCCTCCATTGCAATCAGCTGCGATAACCCTCTGAACCAGGGTAACAGAACCAGGCCTCTACCTTTCAAAATAAGAGCCCCACACGCCATCATGTTGGATTTAGAGCACAACATTTCAAAACAATCATGATGATCATAACTGTCCGTGAAGATTTGGGCAGACATGTAAGTGTTTATTCTCCTTGAAATAAAAGAAAAATAATTACTGCATCTGTTGAGGTTTAAGCAGAATTTTGTTTATTCTCCTTGAATTAAAAACTAAGATAAGAACTATATATATGAACACTTAAGAAGAATTTCGATTATTTCACTTGGAATAAACATAAAATGATAACTATAACTGTTTAGATTCAGGCAGATAAATGCTTATTCTTCTTGAGATAAATGGAAAAAAATAATTAATGTATCAGTTGATATTTAAACTGAATTTAGTTTATTCTCGTTGAATCAAAAACTAAAATAATGACTCCATCAGTGGAGATTTAAGTAGAAAATGGGTTTATTCTAATTGAGATAAAATAAAAATAACTGCATATGTGGAAATTTAAGCCCAAAAAAAAGTGTTTATTCTTCTTGAATGTCATTTTTGAAAAATCACATAATTATTTCTAGACATGAAAACCAGTGCTTTAGAATAGAATAGGAAAATATTTTATTTATCCCAGGCCTGGGAAATTACTGTGATACAGCAGCAACAAAAGAAAACACACCAATCACAACAGAAAAGGGCTACATTTAAATATTCTTTAAAAAATTAAAAATAAAGTTAAATTAAAATAAAATAAATAAAATAACTGGAATGTGCAAATTGAACAAACAGTGCAAAGACAAAGGATTTTACAGAGCAGAGAGCTGAGAATGCTCTGTGGCAGTCAGAGGCGAGGTGTTGTACAGGGTTATTGCTCTGGGCAGGAAAGATGTCCTGTACCGGTCCTTGTGACACTTCTCTCCACAGCTGATCCCTTGACCTGTNGACACTTCTCTCCACAGCTGATCCCTTGACCTGTTCACTGGCAGCAAATAATTAATCACATGTGTAGGTATTGCCAGTTTTCTGCTCCAAACCGGTCCTCATTATCTCCATTAAACCCCACTCTTGAAAGAAATATCTACTGAGATAAATAATATTAGCCAAATAAATTAATTGCACTAATTTACCTGCTCTGGTGATTTGATCCTCCGTCCTAATATTCCCAAAATAATATGACTGTGGAGAAATGTACAATTTTCTACTTGTATTTAATGTGTTTTTCCTAAATCAGCTACATGTAAAAGCCCTAAATGACATCAGAAATCAACCTTAAAACACAACTGTTTACTACTTTCTGAACAAAAACTGCTTGAAACCCAAAAAGGCCATACTGTGCTGTAACTACAGAGTTCAGTGTGTTGATGGCAGCTCCAACTCAGCTCTGATCAGCCACAGTGGTGCAGTGGTGTTATGAGTCCTAAAGCCCCAGAGGCCAGACCCGCCCTCCTCCTCCTCCTCCTCCTCCTCCTCCTCCTGCTCGGTGACAGGGGCTAGCAGGGCGGGGAGCAGATGGAGATGACCCAGGAGCCAGGGCGTCTGTTCACTCAATAACACATTATGTCACGCAGACTCGGCCTGTGTTGTGTGTCTGTAGGCCTCGTTTGGACCGGATGGCAGAGCAGCACCTCTGTAGCAGGGGTTTTCCATGTCTGCTCATAAAAAATAAAAAAAAAGTTAAATGCACATGTAAATTCTGCACAACCGATCTCTTTTATTGACAGTGTTATCAGAGAAGAGCATAGCAGAGAGTTTAATCACACCACATCCAGGTATTTAAGTGCACCGTATGATCCGTCGTCTCCAAGCACCGACTTTTTCCATTTTCCTTTCTTTGCTTTCTCTTTTATCTCCCTCTCAACTCTCAGTTTTCTCTGGATTTCTAATCTAATGCTCCTCAACTGCTGCACACACACACACACACACACACACACACACACACACACACACACACACACACACACACTCTGCTATGGACTCTCAAAACAGCTAGAATAACTCTTTGTCTCTGCAGGACTCTCGAGATCTAGTTACTCTGGTTGGATCAATACTGCTATCACCAGGACGTCTCGCATGCTATCTCACTCTCTCTCTCTCACACACACACACACACACACACATGCACGCACAAGCTACAAACTGTCCTTGTCAGTTTGTCTTGTTTTTCCAAAAAACTGAGGGCATCCAGAGCATCACCTTATCAACTAGAGGGCGCCATGAGATCAGGCCAAACATGACACGAGTGCTGCTGCACATCTCTGTCTGCAGCTCTGTGATGGCTCTCTGTTTTAGTAGTTGTCAGCCTGTATGACTTCAGTATGACTGCTAAAAGAAAACAGAATAATTGAAGTTGTCGTGCGGCCTTGAATCTGTTTCTCTGCTCGTCCGAGTTGCTCTGCTGGAAGGTGGGGTTAGCTGTTGCGGTGGAGGCACACACTCACGTGGGAGGTCGTCCATCCGTCAGCGTCCACCTGTAATAGCCATCCCACTGTACTTGCCTTTGCCTCTGTCTGCAACACTGTTGTTTTTGGGGGTTTTTTTTCACCACAGGCTGTTTTCACGTGAGTCCTTTAACTCTCACATGTAGGTATGTCTTCAAACATTATAAAACCAGTGTTACACCTTGAGTTTTAATTGTTTTTTCATTAATATGGGTGCAAATAAGACAGTTTAAATTAGATTTTAAGGCTCGAATTAAGAGATAATGGCTTTAGATATATATAGGCATTTTATTTTTATGGACTATACTCACAGTTTGATGTATTTAAGGTGTGAAACCACCTTGAAATTGCATTTGACAACTGTTTACACCTTAAAAGGACCTTCAGTTGTCAATTAAGGTAAAAGAAATGAGCTTTCATAAGAGTAAATATAATTCAGTAAAAAAAAATATTGCAGTTTGTTGATTTGTCGGTTCCTTTGTTTGGCATGAAGCAGGTAATTTCCTCTTTCACTAAACAAGTTCTTAAGGTCTAAGTCAAGACACCATTTTTTCATGTTTTGAGAGTGTTTGTATGCTTTAAATCTGAGCTGCAAACACTCGAATACAACAATTATATCAAACTGTATGTGCAAAAATGTCCTAAAATATGATACATTTTTTGTCTAAAACATTTCTATTTCATTTTAAATAGCTTTAAATGATGGTTCACCCATCAGTGAAGCCCCTCGGCTACACAGAAAGTCATCTTTTGTTTTACGCTTGCTGCTTGCTTTCTCCCTGTCGCTCTGCACACTTGACTAGACACCTATAATAGCATTACCTAATACATCACCTAACAGTTTGGCCTTTAGACTCCAATTAAACAACACTAAACAGGCTGAAATGCTCCACCGGCCTATCCCAGTGTTTATCCAACAATTCTTGTAAAAGGTTTGAGGTGGTCGATAGCTTTTACTAACGAGGAACTTGACTTTAATCCAGGAGGAATTACAGTTTACCAATATTTAATGATGCTTTATTGACCATAAATGTACTACTTTCTATTTCCTTATCAGAGCCATAGAGTTGAGGCTCAGGCCGTAAAGGGAGCACATTTGTCAGACCAGGCAGGTGCTGCAGGATAAAAGAGTGAGTTTGGTTAGAAGTGGGACAAAATAGCCGTGTTCTGTACCGGCACGAGTGTGTACGGAGGCTTTTGTTTGGTCGTTTAGGAAACACTTTAAGATAAAGTCCTGAACACAGAGCGTCACTCACAAACTAATCTTACAAGTACAGTTAAAACATGAACAATCTGAATAAAGATAATTCAGTTATATGTTGATAATGTAGTCCTTTCAGTGTGGTGCGCCACCTTCTCCAGGTCAATAAAACACAATAACCAGTGTAAATAACGTTGACCCAAAGGGATTTTACCAGTCTGAGCGGAAAGTAATGTATCATAATCTGTTCTGTAGTCCTTGATTCTGATTTATTTACCTTTTACATCTACACTGTAAGAAAAAAGAGGGGAAAAAATGTGAAAATCTGGCAGCAATGGTGTCAGAAAAAATACATTAATGTTAAGAAAACAAACAACAACAAAAAAATAATGGCAGATATCTGCAAAATAGTACAATTTCTTGCTCATATAAAGACAGTGAAACAGTATACATTTATGAACGCACAAATAAATGAATAGATTCTTGATGTGGACATTAGATGTAGTTATGGCTTGTTAATCAACAAAACAGGGAAAATCTGTAAAATAGCCGCAAATTCCTCACAAAACAAAAAAAACAACAAGCGTTTTCTTATCAGCTTCCTTATTGTCTTATTAGCCAACCTACTGTTACAGTTTGTCTGCTGTGTCTGCCCTTCAACAAATGCCTCTTTATCAGGTTTAATTGCTTTGCTCTAGTTTTTATGTGCTGCGTCACCCAGAGCACAGATTTGCTCATTTATTAACTTCGATGTCACTACAAAGCCCACATGAGGCCACACTGGTGGAGGCGGCATTACATCATGAGCCATATTGTGTTAAAACTGCATATAAATTTATTTCCTCAATCATTATCTATGCGTTGCTTCCGCTGCGCCTGGTCGATGCCCCAGAAAGACGCCGATAACCTTGGTGTTTGTCTGTGTGTGCAGCATGTGTGGAGCGAGAGCGAGGACTGCCTTCCCTTCCTCCAGCTGGCCCAGGACTACATCTCCTCCTGCGGGAAGAAGACTCTGCTGGAGGTGCTGGAGAAGGTCTTCACGTCCTTCAGGCCTGTAAGAAAACAAGAAGGAGTGACGCTGTGGGAGTCACAGTTTACTTTCTAACACGGTGCATCAGCTGCAGCACAGCAAGATCTGTTTGTTGTGTCCAAGCCTGTTACGGCCCTGATACATTCTGTTCTCTCCGCCACGAGCTAAACGTCACGTCGAGATAGCAAACGATAGCAGGAAATAGACAACAATTCAAGGCCTTGAGTGAGTTTTGTAGATTATTAATGTCTGACACTGCTTGACACTTTCGTCCACAAGCTTTTATTTTTCGATAAATAAAAGAAAAATTGTAACCTACTGTACAAATGTTTAAAACACAAAGCAGGTTATCACAACAAAACTTCAATCTCTTTATTTCTATAATTGAAGTTCCATTTTTCTAGCCATCAAAATCAAAGATAAAGTCGTTTGCAGGAACTAAAATGTGCCACTCGGTAACGGCGAGACAGAGGAAAAGGGGCATGAAGGTAAAAAAGTATGCATTTTGCTCTTAAGCTTCTCAAAGCAAGCAAAGTTATTCAGGCTTCTCCTGTCATGTTTTTTCCCCACGCTATGCGTCCTAGAAATATACAGTTACATCTTCAATCTGTAGGAAATGCAGACATCCACATTCAACGCGTAATCGATAACATTCATTAAATGTCTTGATGCCTATCATCTCCCACCTCACTGCTTAGAATAAGACTTAACTCAGTAAGAGTAATGAAAAGACATCAGTTTGTATACAATTTATTGGTGAGGAATGAAGGCTACTGACAATGTTGTGTAATGTTGGTGACTTAATGTGGGACTGTCCAACATTAGAGGTCAGAGGTGTTCAGGATGAAGGTGTTGTTAATGGCAAAGGAATAATCAAGAGATTACCAGTAAGAGGTTTTTTATTAAGGGGCAAAGCTTTACAAATTAAAAGAAATTCAGTGATGCTGGTACTCCATTAACACTGCTTAATGTGTCGTAAATTATTCATTCATTCAATAATTAATCACAAATTTGGCTTTCACCTCCAAATCTACACCTTAATTGAAAACTAAGGTCCTTTTGTAAGTGCTGTATTCCAAATCCAGTGGTTAAGCATGTTATATACCCAAATACTGAGTAAAAATATCTTAACTCACGCCAGATATGAAACGCAAAATAACATATTAATCATACAGTCGACTGCCTTGTTTAGAAGTTGTCATAACTCAAAAAGAGTGATGCAAATGGTTGCATTAATTTTTTTTGTTGGTGAGCTCAAAAATCAATTTTTTTAGGATGCAAACATAAATGAGGGTGTTGGTGCCAAAGTATGTCAACCCACATTTACTAGTTTTAGAGAAAACTGGGGTCTAAACTTTGTGTTGGAAAAAAAACCATCCTGGTTGTTGAAGGAGTCATTATATGCATTCAAAGATGTTTCAACGCTGTCCAGAGATAGAAACAGTGACTTTGTTGACATGGGTCATCGTAAGGAACTAGAGATACTTTTGAGGACCATGGGGTAGAAATAGATGCTTGGTGGTGGCTAATTAAGTTTTTCTTTTTACTTTAACGTACCTATGAGTTGAGTGTTCACGGGGCTTGAGGTCACGCTGAATTGCAAACGTGCAACTACCTGCGCCTGTGATATAATGGTCAGCAGTTCCTGTACACTTGGCCCAGTTTGCCACTAAATCGGTATGCCAAAACCAGTATGGGCCAAACTTCAGAGTGGCATTGTGACATTACTAGTGTGCTGTTGGTTGGACCACTTCGTCACAAACTCGTAGACTATTAACACTTATATAAAAAACATAAAACTCAGCTTTGGATTTTTTGTGGTTTGGCCCGCTTGGGCACTGAACCCCTCATATTATGTTATAAATGAAGGACTCAATAAAAACAGGGGAAACACTATCATGAATAAATGCCATGAGGAAACACAGGAGGCAGCAAAGTCAAACATTCAGAATAGCCAAGTAAGACAACAAAAAAAGTGAAGAAAAACAGACAAACT